GGGGTCCCTAAGCAAAAGAGCCTAAATAAAATCCAAGAAATTCAGCAACAATCGATGAAGACCCCTCTGAGTTCCTGGAGAGGATTTATCAAGCTTATAGGCGCTATACAGATGCAGATCTGGAAGCCCCCAAAAATCTTAGAATGGTTAACATGACTTTTATAGGACAAAGTGCTCCAGAGCTCAAAAAAAGTTGCAAAAACTAGACAGAGCATTAGGGATGAATCCTTCCCAGCTTACAGATATTGCCTTTAAGGCATACAATAACAGAGAACATCAGATGAAGCAAGAAGATGCCAAAAGGAATGCTGCTTTCCTGGCTGCACCCTTGAGCTGATGGAATTCAAACCATCTGAAAGGAAAACCAGGCCAGTCAAAGGGAGGTAAGCGTCCCCTGGGGAAAAACCAATGTCTTATTGCAAAGAGAAAGGACATTGGAAAAAGGAATGCCCCGAGAAAGGAAAAGGAAAGTACTAACAGTATGAGAAAAGCGGCCCAGATGGTCGAGAGGGGGCACTATTCTGATGAGGGTTGAAGAGGCCCAGGGGCTCCTCCAGACTTTTAACACTCCATCCTGATTTCCCCACAGGAGCCCTGGGTACAAACGACAGTGGGGAACGAGCTGATTGACTTCTTGACGCTGGTGCCACCTATTCTGTTCTGAACACTAAATTAGCAAAGAAAATGACAAGATTGACCCCAGTCAGTGGAGTATCTGGTGAAATCCAAGATTGTTCATTTCTAGAACCCCTAGAGTGCCAGGTGGGGGATTTAACCCTGAAACAGTTTTCTGTATTTGCCAGAATGCCCCACCCCACTTCTGGGTCGAGACTTCTGTAAACTGAACGCACAATAACCTTTGCTCCAGGACAACGTGGTGCACAAGCCTCTCCGGAGCAGTCCCTGAGTTTGCAGATGCTTCGCTGGGACCTCGGAGTCAGAACCAGAACTGTTACCACTGAAATCTACGAGAAGGTAAGGCCCGACGTGTGGGCAAACGGGACCCAGGGGAAAGCAAGGAATGCCCCGCCAGTACGGATACCCTTAGAGGAAAAGAAGATAAAGCCCATCTGAAACAGTATCTGCTAAAACAGGAGGCTCAAAAGGGCATACAGCCTTTCAAAAGGTTTTCAGAGGCAGGATTAATCAGACCCTGTCAGCCTCCATATGACACCCCTATTCTCCCCGTGAAGAAGCCAAATTCTAATGGACGTCGCTTCATTCAAGATCTGCGTGCCATAAATGAGGTGGTTCAAGATTTGCACCCTGTGGGGCCCAGTCCTTACACCATGTTAACAAATATACCAGAAGAATATGGTTGGTTTTCAGTATTGGCCTTAAACTATGCATGTTTTTGCGTATTGTTAGCAGAGGAAGCCCAACAATTGTTTGCATTTGAAAGTCATGACTCAGACACTGAGACAACTCAACAATATTGTTGGACTGTCCTCCCCCAGGGGTTTAAGAATTCTCCTACTTTATTTGGGGAAGCATTGGTCAGAGATTTAAGTCATCTAAGACTACAAGAGGAACTGTTGTTACAATATGTGGATGATTTGCTAATAGCAGGCCCCACTTAGGAACAGTGTCTGGCAACACAATTAAAACTTTAAATTTCTTAGCAGAATGTGGGTATAAGGTCTCCCAGAAGAAAGCCCAGATTTATAAACAAAAGGTCGCACAGCTGGGATTTACCATTTCCAAGGGACAAAGAGAGTGGTTGCCAGATTGGAAGAAGGCAAGAGCCTGCTTGAGTCCTCCCAGAACTCACCAACAATTGTGAGGCTTTTCAGGAATGGCAGGCTTCTGTCGACTTTGGACTCCTAATTATGGGCTCATGGTAAAACCCCTGTATGAGGCTCTGAAAGGTTTAGATTCAGAACCTTTGGACTGGACTACAGAGTGCCAGCTGGCATTTGACACTATTAAGGCCAAGCTGACCCCAGCCCCAGCCTTAGGACTGTCAACCTGGACAAGCCCTTTAGTCTCTGTGTGCATGGGAGACAAGGCATAAGTCTGGGAGAATTAACTCAACAAGTGGACCAGCCTCTAGGCTGGTGGCCTATTTCTCTAAACAATTGGATCAATTGGTGAAGAGATGGCCCCCGTGCCTCTGGGCAGTAGCAGCCACATGTGACATTCTTCAAGAGGCTGAGTTAACTCTAGGCCAACCCAGCATGGTATATGTACCCCACCACGTCCTCACATTACTGGAACAGAAAGGCGGATACTGGCTCCCCTCAGGAAGGATGGGTGGATACCAAGTCATCCTTCTGGACAATCCACATGTCAGGTTACAAGTCACTTCAACTCTAAAACCGGCCACCTTGCTTCCCAATGAAGCCTCACAAGCTTTGGAGCATGACTGCTTACAGGTTATAGAAACGGTTTATTCCAGCCGGCCAGACCTGAAAGACCAGCCATTAGAAGATCCCGAACTGGAACTTTTCACACATGGTAGTAGCTTCATGGGCCAAGGTAAGAGGCATGCTGGGTATGCAGTTGTAACCTTACAGAAAGCCCTGGAAGCTAAGGCATTACCCCCAGGGACTTCATCCCAGAGGCTGAAATCATTGCCCTCTCCAGAGCACTACTTTTATCAAGAGGAAAAAGGATGAATATCTATATAGATTCCCAATATGCATTTTCAGTGGTCCATGCCCATGGAGCAGTCTGGAAAGAAAGGGGGCTTCTAGCTGCTGACAGAAAAGAAATTAAACATGCTCCAGAGATATTACAATTATTAGAGGCAATCTATGAACCTTCTGCGGTGGCTGTAACACATTGCCCCGGCCACCAAAAGGATGAAACCTCCATAGTGAAGGGAAATTGACTGTGATCACGAGCAGGTTAAGGGCTGCTGCCACCTCTTCCTGCAGTCGCCCCGGGGCGCACTCCCTCTTTCAGGGCTCAGCTGTGCTGTGGGTGCTGGCGCAGGCCTGGAGTTCGCCTGCCCCGGTGGGCCACAGACTCTGCTTGCAGACCGCAGGCTGCTGTGCTCGGTGGGCACGGCTTCTCGTGTGGACCCAGCCAGGGCCCTCCTTGGGGTCACAGGGGCACAATGGGCTCCCTCCCTCGCCTGGAAAGTGAACACGAGTGGGTTAAGGATGGCCACTGCCTCTTCCTGCAGTCGCCCCTGGGCGCACTCACTCTTTCAAGGTTCAGTTCTACTATGGGCACTGGCACGCACTGCAGAATCCACTTGCAGAATGGAAGGGTGCTGTGCTTGGTGGGCGTGGCTTCTCATGTGGACCCAGTCAGGGCCACTCCTTGGGGCCACAGGGGCATGGTGGTCTCCCCCCTCACTGGGAGAGTGATCACCAGTGGGCTAAGGGCTGCCACTGTCTCTTTCTACAGTTGCCGCAGGGCTCATTCCATTCCCACTTGCGGGGTGCTCATACCAGGCTTGAAAGCAATCCTGTGCGTGCACAGGGCTGTCGGGGGGTAGGGAGTTCCCAGCTATCTCCACCACTTCCCAGAGGGTCAGTCCTTCCACCCTCAGATGTATAGCTGCATGTGTCTCTCAGGCGTCCTGTTGTTCTGTGTAAGCGTCTTCTGTTGGTCAATGAATGTCCATTTAGTTGTAGTTCAAAAGGGGCAGAGACAAAGGGAACAGCTCACTGCCATGTTGGAGACACTTGTTTCTGTTGTGAGTGTGACTCACCTTAGTTTTCTCCCCTTGGTTTTGTACTGATCTTCAATGTCATGATCTTTCCATTTTTTTCCCTAAAATGCAGACTCAGAATAATGATTCCAAAGTATTAGAAATTATAGAAAATTTATTAAATTCTATGTCCATGATGAGCTGTGACCATGCTCAGTTATTTACCAATATCCTCCCTTTCCACTTTCCACATCTTGGAACAACACTGATGAACAACAAACACTTGTTTCCTAATTGATGAAGTTAATGTAAGTTGTCATCCTTACCTGTTGAGGCCAGGTTACTGAAGGTTTCATGCATTATATCCTCCGAAAGTTTCTCATGTAAGGAATCCTTTAAAGCCCACTCCTCCACAATGAAGTTCACAACCGAGTCCTCAATGACCACTGAGTCCTAAAAAATCCCAAATATGTGTGCAGTAGGATGCATGAAACTGACAGCACTAGACATCTATACTCCATTTATAGAAAGGTTATGATGATTCTGTCATATCCAAACATTTATTCTATGACTTGATCATCAGAAACTTACTCTCTGTCCACACTTAGTTTCTCATAAATTTAACACCATCATTAAAACATGAAAATAATTTATATATTTTTACTGTGATCAATTACGTCTTATTTCTCTGTAATGTCAGGATCCAGAGCATGTTGGGAAATGACAGAAATGCTATGCAAATAAAAAATAATCATGTTAAGACCATCAATACTTTGTGAGACAAATTCTTTCATCTTCTTCCTTATTACCCATCAGTTACATTACAGCACTCCATGAGGCAGAGGGTCAAATCTGCATGAGATTGTAATAAATTAAAACATATCAAAGAACTAGATTCATTTTCTTCTATTCCCATCACCAAATATGAGAGTCCAAAAGGCCTGGGGAAGTGAAGCTTTAATCAAAGGCAGCTGACCATATCATCCTCAAGTATTCTAAGCCATTAGAAGTAATCAAATGCCACTGGTTAAATATAAGTATTTTTGTCAAGAAGCATTCTTTTTAATATGTGTAATATTTATCCCAGATTCAGCTCTTCCTTTCTCTCTATGATTTGAAGGGGCTAGAAGTTTGTTTGGAACTTAGCACTCACACAAGAAGAGGAAAGCATGGCAACTTAAGACTAAAAAATTGCTATACTCATGTGTCACAGGATGGCTTCCAGACAAATTTTAGGACACACAGTGAGATAATAATGTGCCATAAGAGCTCTTTCTGGTCAAATCCTAACAGTGTACCCTGGGCCTTGCTGCCTCTAAGGAACAGTTTAAGAGTGCAGATTGCAAGGGAGTTCATTTCCACAAAGGTCTGATAGTCAATTTAGCCAAGATTATAGAATACATATAGATTCAACAGTGCTTTCTTCCAAAAGAACATAAAATCTCCATTATCCAACTTCAAGAGGAAGTGTTTCCCAACTAGTCACTCTAGATGATGCCCTGCCAACTTCTGATCTTGCCCTTAAGGAACTTAGAAGCAGTCATTCTTGATCTCCTGAGAAGAAAATGAACAAGCTTGAAATGAACAACTCTTCTTAGATACATGAGAGCCTAGAGGTCATAGGGCAAATCAGTGTCTCCAAAATTGGGAAAGAGAAAAGAAAGATGATATTTTGTAATATGTCCCAAATATTCTGTTCTTGACAAGGCCTATACTCAAAAAAATCTACTTCACCAGAGTCTAATGCAAAGATAGAAAGGACAAAAAAGACAGAACTCAATATCCATGAAGTCTAGAACATAGAACAACCTTCTCTAACAGAAGGTTTAAAATACATATAATGGGAATACCTGAAGGAAAAGAAAGACAGAAAGAAACAGAAGAAGTAAGTAATAATCACTGAAATTTCCTAAAAGTAATAATAGATGACAACTGTAGATCTAGGAAACTAGAAAACACCAAACATAAAAACACATTAAAAATGTGCACCCAAGTACATCAGATTCAAATGGGAGACAAATCTAAGACAAAGTGAATATATTGAAGGAAGCCAGAGGGGAAATCAGACCTCAGGTACAGAAAAAGATTAACATTAAATTGGATTTGTTTTCAGAAACCGTGGAAGCAAGAATAGAGTGGAGTAAAAAAAGTTGTTTTTTTTTTTTGGCTGAGGAACATTCACCCTAACATCTGTTGTCAACTTTCCTCTTTTTGTATGTGAGCCACTGCCACAGCATGGCTACTGATGAGTGGTGTAGGTCCATACCTGGGAACTGAACCTGGGCCACCGAAGTGGAATATGCTGAAGTTAACCAGTAGGCCAGCGGAACTGGCCCACAATATTTAAAGTTTTTAAGTTAAAAAAACTCTCCCCTAGAATTCTGTGTCAAGTGAAATTGTCCTTCAAAAGTAAAGGAAAAATAAGAAGTTTCTGTGACAAAAATGTAGGGAATTTGTCTTTCGTACACCTACTGTGATTAGAACATTCAAAAATTCATCAGAAAGAATGTGAATAATAAAGGTGGAGGATTAGCAAAGGAATAAATGAAGGTAAAATATCTTTGGTATTTCTCATCAAAATTAACAAAACACAGGACACTTAAAAAATAATATTAACAACAACGTAGGGCCAGTCCCGTGGCTTAGCGGTTAAGTGCACGCACTCTGCTACTGGCGGCCCAGGTTTGGATCCCGGGTGCGCACCGATGCACCACTTCTCCGGCCATGCTGAGGCCACGTCCCACATACAGCAACTAGAAGGATGTGCAGCTATGACATGCAACTATCTACTGGGGCTTTGGGGGAAAAAAAAAAGGAGGAGGATTGGCAATAGACGTTAGCTCAGAGCCGGTCTTCCTCAGCAAAAAGAGGAGGATTAGCATGGATCTTAGCTCAAGGGCGACCTTCCTCACAAAAAACAACAACAACAACAACAACAACAACAATGTATTTGGTAATGATAAGCTTATGGATAACTGAAATAAACGATGTCAGGAAGGGAGTGGCCTTCTGTATATTAAATAATTTTTTAAAATGTAACTGGGGTGTCAGGACATCAAACTATGTGTAGGGCAATGGACCATCCACTGTTTGTGAGCCCTTTTATTCGATTTATATATGTCTTGAACGTCAAATGAATGTCCACAAAGGAGAATGTTGTTAATGTAACATCACACCTGGACCCCTGGTGCAAGGTAGATGCAGTTCAGATTTTGTCCCCAGAGACTGTGTACAGTGGCAATGGTGTTGAGGTTCCCTGAGGGTAAACAGGTACAGGCATTCCTCAGAGATATTGTGGGTTGGGTTCCAGTCCACCACAATAAAGCAAATATTGCAATAAAGCAAGTCACACAAATTTTTTGGTTTCCCAGTGGAAATAGAAGCTATGTTTAGGGGTTAGAGCATCAGGAAAGTCTAAAGACTAGATTATAAGAAGAGAAAATAGAAGCCATCTTTCACAGACCTGTATTACAGGTTCTTCCTCAGTTTGTAAGATGAGTCTGAAGTAGCGAGCAGCTTGATTCTCACAGGATTTCTGAATCCTGTGCAGTTACTTGGACGAGTGGGTCAGGACCCTGTCATGGGACAGGCGGAAGGAAAACACCCAGTGACAGTATTTTCTCTAGAAGCAAATGAGATGTGGCGATCAGGGGAAAGTGAAGCTCACCAAATGGGTGATGTCAGTCAAAAGACAACATGGCCCAGAATTTCAGTATTTGAGCCAGGTCTTGGAGGTGTGGCATATGTGAGAAAGGGGTCTCAGACTGATGTGGAAGGGAAAGTAGACTATGGAGAACACAAGGATAAAAATAATGTGAGGTGACAAGCCACAACACTCGGTGGTAACATTCTATTTCTGAGTGACCAGACAGAAGAGAAGGCATGGAGTGGACGATTCTTCTTTGGCCTTTCTTTGGTACTCATATACAAATCATTTATAGTCTTTATAGTTTTTAAGGACAAGAATTAAAATATTCTTTTATATATAAAAAAGTTATGTTTACACTATCCTGTAGTCTATTATGTGTGCAATGACGTTATCTCTAAGAAAGCAATGTACATTCCCTAATTAAAAACTACTTTATTGCTAAAAAAGGCTAACCATCATCTGAGCCTTCAGTGTGTCATGATCATTTTGCTATGGAGGGTCTTGTAAAAATAAAGTATCTGCAAAGCACAATGAAGTGAAGTGCAATAAGACAAGGTCACCTGTAAAGGTGTATCCTGTCCCTTCAGAAGGGAAGGCCAACTGCAGCCGAGAGGCTGTGGACACAGCACTGAACAGAACAGACTGAGCCGAATCTGAGAGAGCAGAATGTTTACCAGGTGCTGAGTGGGTGGAGTCAGTAATTTCCATAACGTTGGGGACAGGGTATAGGGCTCTATTTGGTGTGGCCACAGCCTCCAGGTTGCAGTAATCCACTGGAGGTGTCATTCATTCCTTCTAGACTTAAGAACAGGCCAAATTCAGCTGTTCAAAGTAGAAACTGGGGATAATCACTTCTCCCTAAGTGGGTTTCTTACAACAGTTTTCAATCCTTGAAGGCTCTGTTTAATCTCCACTGGGCCATATTATCTAATGTAACTAAGGGGTGAAGACCAAGTAGTCCCATTTTGGGAAGTCAATTTGGAAGGAGTGAAGACTTAATTTAACTGAATTTTAATTTATGAATTGTTGACTCAGAGCTTTCCTGCTCGCTATGGGATATTTTAGAACAATGGGTCCTGTGAGGCATGGCAAAGAGTTCTGATGGTTAAGGTGAAGTATACCAATCTGGCCTCTGCATTATATTCAGGAACTTCCCTAAGATTGTGGGGTCCTTTGCTGAAATTTACTGAGGTCCCAGCCAGGTGTAACTGTAATTTGAGACCTAGCATTGAGTAACTGCATGAAGGGTTGTGATTTATTGCATTACAGGAGATGGTACCATGAATTCAAAATGTATTTTTTAGAGGCTCAGAAGCCAAAGAGCTCCCTTTTATCTTTGTCGTTGTGTCAAACCTTTTAGTATATTTTGGATTTCCAATTGGGTCACATTATGGACATTTATTTCAGTACCTTTATCCTCTTGTTCCTTCTCTGGTATCCTTCCCTGTTCTGTATTTCAGGTCACTGGATATACTTTGGGGGATGGGGTGTCCTCTGTGTCCTGGTATTTATACATTTCTCTTCCAGAGCACCTCACATCAGTCTGATCAGAGTTAGGAGCCTCCACCATAACAACTAGTTGTTTTATAGAGTTTAAGGTCTCCAGTCTTCAATCCAGTTTGACTGATCCCTTGGCTGTGCCACACAGGTGCCATGGCTGTTATCACCTATAACCCCAAAGGTCATGGTCTTTGTTGCAGGAGAGGCAGGGGCAGCAGCATCAGAGGGCCTTAAGGGTCCTGGTGAGCCCTCTGCCATCAGGAGTGCAGACTCTACCCATCTACTGGCTGCCTTTCCCTGTCTCTTTTCTTTCTCACTTTCTCTCTGAAATAACAGCTCTTTAAGGAGTGACTATCTGATGGGCTCACCTCATTCACAGGGTATAGCCACCCTCTTACTCCCCTAAGACATGCCCCTGATGTCGGGGCAAAGCCAGCCTCAATCACAGCTTCACTCTTAACACAGATTCCAGCCAAGACATCAACCAAGGACCACTGTAATGAGTATGAGCTCATTCTCGTACTCCTGTGCCCTAAGGACAAGGAATTATGGACGCTGCCAACTCAGAGTCCTCTGTACATAGAACCAGGCGTGGTGGGTGAACAGTGCACACAGGGCAGCACAGCTCACAGGAGGAGCTGCCCAGCAAGCAGCAGCTCACAGTGCAGGAGCCTCCAGGCTTTCTCATCAGCCCGTCCAGACAAGAAGGCCTAGGGGAAAGGGAGGGGTGAGGCTTAAGTTCTCAGAAGCCAAACATCAAATATGTGGACCCTTGGCTACTCATTATATAACCACAGGCCCTGCAGGACCAGTTCAACTGACCCTTATCAACAGAGTAATTAAGAGTGGTTTTCAGCGACTGAGACCCCTTGTCCTGTTCAGGCCAGTTGAGACCACCAACCCATCAACTGGGCCTGTGCAAATGCTGGACAAGTGACCTTTTTGACGTCAAGGAGCTATAATCTTCACGCTTAGATCATAGTATTTCTGCCATTTTGTGAATATGCATCCTATGAAGAGGAATGAAGCTTGACTACACTTGCACAGATCATCAGTTACCTCCCTTCTCCTTACCTCCAGTCATCTATTCCCAGACTTCAGACCACCTTGCCACCTATACCATAAATATCACTGAGTCCTGATTTATAGGGACACGGATCTGAGATTGATTCTCCCACCTCCTCACTTGGCTGCCTTGTGATTAAATCCTTACTCTTTGCAAACTGATTATGATGGTGATTGGCATAATAGTGCAGTGGGCAAAACAAACCTGGTGTGGTTAACAATTACAACAACAAACGGGTAAGCAAAATAGAAATTCACACTGGCTTGTTTTTATATAAAGAAACACTAAGAGGGTGATGAAGCAGTGATCAAAACTGG